GAGTTCAGCCGGCTGATCAACGAGCTGCACAAGGCGTGGCAGGAGTTGAAGGAAGCCATCGATAATAGACGAGCCAACTTGCTGAGGAACGAGCGGGCACAGGAGTATCTGTTCGATGCCAATGAGGCCGAGAGGTGGATGAGCAAGCAGGAGCTCTACATGATGGTGGAAGATCGGGGCAAAGATGATACCAGCGCCAAGAACTTCATGACGAAGCACGAAAGTCTGGAAGCGGCCGTTGAAGCTTATGCGGATACCATCAGAGAAACTGACCGATACTGGCGATCTGTTCAAGTTTTTCAATCTGGTGAGGACGCTGGTGCAATGGATGGACAACGTGGTACGCCAAGTGAACACCAGCGAAAAGCCGCGCGACGTCGGCGGCGTTGAACTGTTGATGAACAATCAGAAGAGCCCTCAGGCAAAATGTAAAGTTCTCCACCTTCACCGGTTGCCCAGATATAACCATGATCCAGGAATTACCTAATCGGGGCGATCAGGGTTTAGAAGGGGGGCAGTGTAACGGAAATGGCCTGGGGTACTCACGTTTGGAATGGGGGATCGAAATTCATGGTATTTCAGTAAATGGGAGCCCCATTTGGGCCCCATTTACTGTTAAATATGACACTGACAAGCGGAAAGTTTCGCACCTGTTCTGGAGATTTCGAGAACCATCTGGGTTACCTGGAGGAAACTATTCAAGCGACGACGAGACGAGGAGAGTGAAGTGACAGCCGCGCCTGAGTGCAGAAGAGGTTAAACCCCGCGAGTTGGAAACGCGTGTTTTCCGTTTGTTATTGTTATTCTTTGTGAAGTTGACGTTAATTAAGAAGTTAGTTTGTTCCTGTTCCGTATTTAAAGTTATACCGAGGTAAATAAAAGTTGGAAGCTGAAGAAAAAGTTAGATACTCGGCCATCCACGGTACACTATTTTTCATCAACTATCATCTAAATCCACTAATCAACTATGTCGTATCGGTAAAGGCCCGATTACTGGAAAACAATTCGGCTGATAAATATATGCGTGCAAAGCAGGAGCGCACGTGTTTTGCAGGGGAATCCAATTTTACTGGGAACCCATTTTTGAGCTGATTAACAATTGCCAGCAGGGCAGAAGCGCACGTGTTTTGCAGGGGAATCCAATTTTACTGGGAACCCATTTTTGAGCTGATTAACAATTGCCAGCAGGGCAGAAGCGCACGTGTTTTGCAGGGGAATCCAATTTTACTGGGAACCCATTTTTGAGCTGATTAACAATTGCCAGCAGGGCAGAAGCGCACGTGCTTTGCAGGGGAAACCCATGTTTTTTGAATGAAATAAATAGGCCCGCATAGTCAGACCGGGGAGAGTGTGTGATAGGTTTCGTCGCGATACCTATTGTTTTCTCGGGAGCGCGCTTGGACATCCTACCCGGTGAGCCAAGAAAGACTTTTACGAAC